GTCACTGTTGCCATTAGTTACAATACTAAGAAAATTAAGAATAAGGAAGTTATCATCCAGAATTGTTGAAAAAGGTTTGTTTAGTGCAGTAAAGCATCTTTCCTTATCATTTTTTTTTAGCATTACTTATACTTTAAGTACTTTAAAAATGTTATTTGTACGCTTTTACTTTAGTTATAAGCTTAAGTTGATTCTCTAGCTTCTACAGAAGTGTTTTTAAACAGTAAGATTTATACTTCTACCTTGGAAATAATCATTAATACTTTTGACACCTCTGGTATTCACGGTATCTTAGATGAAAATTAAAACTTTTAAAACTGTTTGATCAGAACAAATATGGAAAAAACAAGTTGTCAGTTTATAAGAAGCACCATAATGACACTCAAAAAACAATATTTCTTGCAAGTTTCTTGTAGAAGTTTAAAAGTGTGTTATTAAGAGTTAAACAAAAATGCTGTGCTAAAGCTGAGCTAATTTTATAATTTTTAGAAGGTCTGTTTTATATTTTCAGGAGAAAACTGATGCCCTCTACAGATGCAACAATGCCATAGCAGTCCTCCTAAAACTTGCCCCTGCAGGCAAGTTTGATCAAAGTGGGACTTCCTGGGATTAGGAAACCTTTTACATGTTTCCTCTTGCATCACTTCCTGGCAGTAATTTCTACATAAAGGACAGTTCTCCTACTAAAGCAGGTATTGGCAAGAGAAAAAGGATTGAAAACCAAGAGCTGGTAAGTCAATAAAGTCCTTCAAAACTTCCCTGTTAATAAAAAGGATTCTATTTAAACTTCCAGGGAAAACAACTGGCAGTTTTGGGTTAATGTTGGACTTAAAACTGAGCTTTAAAACAATGGTTATGTAGGTTTATAGTGCAAAATAAACAGTGTTGATTTACTCATGGTTTATAGGAACAATGCCCCATATACTAACCTCTTACATGTATGTGTTTGAAAGACTGTATTTTAAGTAAATTGCTTTTTCTTCACCTTTTGTTTACAGGAGCTGCTGTCCCAGAAGAATGCAGACCATAAAGTGTGTGTTGGTGGGTGATGGGGGCGTTGGTAAAACCTTTCTTCTCGTCGCTTATGCGACCAGCGTTTTTAAGGAAAAGTACCTTTCTGCACAGTTTGACAACTACACTGGTGACATAAGTGTGGATGGCCACACTGTCACCCTTAAACTGCTGGACACGGCAGGCCGTGAGGGGTATGAGCTCCTGCGTACACTCTCCTATCCTCAAGCAGATATTTTCATTGTCTGCTTCTCTATTGGCAGCCCTTCCTCTTATGATAACATCAGGCTGAAGTGGAAACCTGAAGTGTCCCAACATTGCCCCAAAGTGCCAATCCTTCTGCTGGGCACCAAGAAGGACCTGAGGGGGGATGAAGAAACCGTGAAGATGTTAAAAGAGCAGGGTATGACCGTTTGTACCTATCAGCAGGGGGACATCCTGGCCAAGCAGATCAGGGCTGTTAAATACATGGAGTGTTCTGCTCTGCAGCAGGAAAACATCAGGGAGGTGTTTGAGGAAGCTGCCAGAGCCGTGTTGTTTCCGCAGAGTAAAAGAAATTGTAAAAAGTGTGTTCTTCTGTAATAAATAGCTGCCTGATTTAGAAAAAAATATATAAAAAAACAAAAAGGTGGTCAATCAACAGGTAAAAAGATGTCACTCCTCTTCTTAATCCTGAGGGATTGCAGCAAAAGGACTATTTAAAAATAAAAGCAACACAGTAAATCATCTTAATTTGTTTTTGGCTATTTAAATTAATAATACTGTACTATATATTTGACTTAGGATTCTTTTTTTCTATATGTGGTATAACACCTAGCTTTCGGATTTTGTTGTTCTCTCTAATATGGGATTTATGTGGCTTTTTTTTTTGACATAACAGTTTTTCTTGGACTTTAAACTTTACCTCTTAGCTCTTGTATACGTTTTACAAAAGAAATGGTGCTAGAAATTCCCCTTCAACTCGTTTACAAACTGCAACCAAAAACGTCATTGTGGTTTACTAGAGTCATAAGTGATATGCTAACATCGTACAACGTAACAGTGTACAGAGAGATGGGAAGTTTTTATTTCTTTTTTTGTTGTAAATCTACAAATTTTAGCTTTTAGATCCCATCCAGATCCGTCTGACATCACTGCTGCCAAGCAAACATGAATGATGCGCATTCCATAATTAGATATACTGACTTAATATCACCATGTTTTTTTTTTAATCACTAATGCTTACCTTATCAAGGGTGCACTTTAAAAAATGAAATTATCTAGAGAGCTGTTTGTAAATTAAATTTATTTTTGTTTATACTTGTGTATACAAAATGACAAAATAAATCTGTCTAAGTTTTATTAATGTATTTTGTACAATTTGCTTTATAAAACAAGCCAAAGTTCAGTCAGATTGGACGGAGAGTCTGATCTTCCCATTCAGATTTACTTTGTGAGGACTGTGATCCTGTCAGTCCATCAAAGAGAGTTTGATCTAAACTGGTCTGAATTATGACCTGAAACATGTGGATGTTTCCCTTGCTGTTCAAAAACTCTATTTAAACTCTACTCAAATGGCTAAAATCCCTAATTAGCATACAGCCTAGTTCTTTAGATTCAGATGATAAACTAATCTTTCAGTTTAGCATATCTGGAAGTTGCTTCCCTGTTCCCTAAAAAAATGCATTTATCTTCCATCGCGGTTTGTGGTTGGAAAATGGGCTTTTTAAGATTAAAGTGTTATTGTTTTATCATGCACTATAGTTAAACTGTACTGTAAGGGAATCTGGAAATACTGGAACAATTTAGTCATGCTGAAGGTAAAAAAAATGAGTCACAACTTGATGTAGGATTTTAATCTACTATATATCCTTGGGGAAATGTTTATGATTTGTTGAATTTGTACTTTTCAGTTGCAGCATGTGGACACTAGATGGAAACAGCCCTCTAGCTCAGCCTCATGTGGTCCTGAATGAGAGGCATTTTTCAAAGCCTGTTATACATTTTTCCCTCATCTATAGACTTAATGGTCGAGTCAATGGTCTGTACCTTTTTAAGAGCCATTATTCAGCTAGGCAGACACCCACAAGTTGAATCCATTTGAGGCGCTTAAAAAGTCAGCATTCTGCTGCTTACTCAGAAATATTTCTTTGACCTTTATGGGTGGAGGCTCTGACAAATGACAGATGTGTTGAACTCTGCCAAGTGCTCATACAGTAATATGCTGTGGTGAGATTCAGGGTGCATATCCTGTGCGGTCTCTCTCTGAGCGGCGTACAATGAGGACAGCGCTGACAGTATGTTTACAGCTTGTAGAATTTGTCTGTTAGTGGGAAATAAATTGTTTTAGTGAACCCTGCCAAGTATTTGTTGTGAAAGCCTCCACTGTGGGCTGACTGAACTGAATAGAAAGTGAAAGGTTGAGACCTCTGCAATGTACTTAACAGTGTACTAATTTGTAATTCTGCTTTAAATGAGTTTTTGTCAGTCTGCTCTGTTGTTCCCCCAGAAATGGTGCTGCAATGCAACCATAGAGGAGGAACTATCCAAGCAGTCATGCACTGCTGGAAGAAAAAACAGCTACAGGAGCCAGATTGTTGTGGGATTTGTGTTTTTGTGCCATTCAGATGTGTTTAGACCAACAGGCTCAAAAGGGATCACTGGGTACTGCAATTTGGAGCATTGATTGTCAAATGTAGGTTGTTTTATGACAATATTTGTGTTTCCTCTGCGATGTGCTGGATTCCTCATTCATTAATTTACATTTTGAAAGTGAGACTTTCCCCATATACTCCGACCTTAATGTCCAACATGACCTCTACATTAACGACACATTTGAACTCCTAATGATTTCTGTCTCATTTAGTCAGTTGCGCTGCAAAGCCTCTAGTTCTAGAGAATGTGCAGCTGCTACTGTAAATTTAAATGGTAATGTGCTGAAAAATACATGACTTTTAGCTTATAATGTTAATAGTGATGTGAATGTCTTTTTTGATTTAAGCTGGTGAGCGATAGAGTCAGCTGAATGAATGAGACAATTTACATTTAAAACAATGAAAAACAACTTCTTTATCTTATTTCAAGTGCGCAATTTTTCATCATTTTAGTTTAAGGGTAAAAATAATCCTTCCATTAGCAGATCAACTTATTTACCTGCTCAAATTAAGGGCTAAATTAGATACACTGACTTTTAAGATGTATTTTTCTTGTTTTTTAAAATAATTTTTGCAGTATTTAGAATGGAATAGAAGAATGGACAATTCCTTTATTGTCCTGCAATGGGGAAATTGTGGTTTTACAGCAGCATTACATTACATTACATTAAAAGTGTTCAAAAAATAAAATAAATAAATGTTAGAGTTAAAAAAATTTACAAAATAAATTACTGTACTTTACAGTGTTTTAACAAATATGAATACTGTGCAGTCATTCGAAGAACAAATGATCAATATACAGCTGTGAGACGTTTCTACAGTAGTGGATATTGGAAAATAGCAACACCAGAGATGTGCAAAAAAAAAGACAGCAGCACGTTATTTAAGTGACCAAGACAAACTTAAAAAATTAGCATGAATGTAACAACGTATTGAGGTTATTGGTAACAGTGATGGTTATAGAGTCTTACAGCTGCTGGGAGGAAGGATCTGTGATAACGCTCCCTGGTGCATTAAAGGTGCAGCAGTCTGTCACTGAAGGAGCTCTCCAGTCCAGAAACAGCTTCATGCATGTGGTGGGAGACATTATCTTACAGAGATGCTATGACAGTTAAAGAGGGATGGGAAGGGGGCTAAGCTACATCCAAGTGATGAGAAAATTAGCCCATTACGAGACCTGGAGATCCAGCTAATTAGGGAAACCAAAATCTGTTGACAGTCATATTTGTTTCGTAAGTACAACAGGATGCTTTAGCCAGAGGTGGATCCTGGGATGATCAAATCCCAAGGTTAGTACTTTGGTCAACTGACTGGGTGGGGTGATAAATTCACCTAGAACTGCAAGCTGGATTGCCACAAGATCTCAGTTTTCAGTCTCACAGAAAATCCATCTTGAAAAACTCCCGCTAATAACTCCATTTCTTAACAAGCAGTGAGTCGAACCAATGACATGCCAGCAGTGTTTTTTGGAATGACGACAGTCAGAAGGGCCTTGCAGGGGCATTACAAACATGGCTACACAGGAGGAATTACCTGTCAATACCACAATCGACTCGGTTTTAGCCAAAATAGCAACAATTTCTCATTTAAAAAAGGAGCGAAGAGAAGCACTTTGTGCATTTGTAGATGGGAAAGATGTCTGAGCTTTTCTTCTGACAGGATTTGGAAAAAGTTTGATTTATCAGCTTACTCCGCTAGTTGTGAAACACTCCAGAAGCTGCATACAAATCCTACTGTGATGCTACGATTGGCTGAAAGCGTATTATGGAAGGTGACTACTAGCTGGCACGTCAGCCAATCAGCTCAAAGTAAACGTCCCTCTTTTCACGGACAGACCGAGCGGCAGCCATCCCAGATTGATAACGTAGAGCTTAACCCAGTTCTACACATATGAGTCTGGCTACTGCAAGTTTTGTGATAAATGGCTTAAAAGAGGAATTAAAAGCCCTTGATTTTGTGTTGGCAAGGGTTGCAAACTGTTAGATGGTCAAGTGTTGATGGGATGCTTTAACATTTAGTTAAGTCCAGATGAAGCTAGTGGACAACCTTCAGGATTCAGTGGTGACTTGCCAACCAAACTCAGAGCCATCCATCCAGCCATCCATCCATTTTCTTACACGCTTGTCCCGAGTGGGGTCGCGAGGGGTGCTGGTGCCTATCTCCAGCTGTCAATGGGCGAGAGGCGGGGTCAAACTCACAGCCATATAATGGAATCATTCATAGGTGATTAGATAAGGAGCATGATGATGGGGACATTACAGAAAGGATTCGGCCTAGATGTGATGATGGTGTTTAGAGTATCTTAAAGATTCAACACCCAAACACCCATAGTAATTTAAATGTATTTATATTGTGACAATTCGGCTGATCCTAGTTATCAAACAATGCAGTCAAGGTTAGTTTATTAATCAAAATGGTTTCAAAGTTGTTTATCAAAAATACTTAAATGCATGAAAGCTTTGTCTGTAATAAGTTAACTGAAAGTCAATCATGCCATCGACTTGGTCTTCTTATCATATTCCAGAAATGTACATTAGTTATGCAGGCCTGTGATCTTAGCAGACTTTTAGGGCGGTTTTGGACCTGACAATCGACCATATTAAAACAAATCACAGACATGACATCCACATTCAAACCAAACTTCCTTCCCACCTCACATAAATAATCACAGTTTAGTCATTTTTGCTGCTGCTTGTTTCCTTTAAAGCAAAACCCCACTGCTCGGAGAACACAGAACAAATATCACACACTGCACTACTCCACGCTGACACAAATCTTTTGACTAACACTAGACGGATTAGTTTGTTGTTTACGGTTCACTTTGAGGGATGTAAATGTAGATGTTTTCACACAGAGTCGCATTGCAGCCTTTGCCTTTGAATGTCGGAGCTAGAGGTGAAATTCACAGAACTGTGCGGATGAGGGTACGCTGCATAGTCTTTCTGTGAA